TCCATACAACCCCCCCCCTCCCCCCCCCCCCCCCCCCCCCCCGGGGTATGCCTTCTCAGCTCCCTACTTTACTCCCTGTACACCCACAGCTGTTAGCCAAATTCTGAATGAACGCCATCTACATGTTTGCTGATGACATCACCGTGGCATGATGGATATCAAACAACAATGAGTCAGAATACAGAAAGGAGATAGAAGGCTTGGTGTCGTGGTACAGTGATAATATCCTCTCTCTCCATGTCGACAAAAGAACTGATCATGGACTTCAGGAAGAAAGGAGGAGGACATGCCCTCATGTACATCAATGGAGTGGGTGTTTGCGTGTGTCAAGTTACTAGGAGTGACGATAATTTACAACCTGTCCTGGACTTCCCACGTAGATGCAACAGTCAAGAAAGCAACACTCTTCTTCTTCCTCAGGCAGCTTACGAAATTCGTCATTGTCCATAAGGACCCTCACAGAATGCATACTATCCAGATGCATAACGGCACAACCCAGACCCCCTCAGAAGCCAACCTCCCTCCCATGGACTCCATTTACACTTCTCATTGTCATGGAAAAGATGCCAACATCATCAAAGACCCCTCCCACCCCGGTAATGCTCTGCTATGACCACCTGATATTTCTCCTTGGGAGCTTACAGCCCAATGTTCTCAACATTGACTTCACCAGCTTCAAAATCCCTCCACTCCAAGCCTAATCTCATGTCGAGCCCTCCCTCCTCCTCACCTCCCTCACCTGACCTTTATCGGTCCATCTTCCTACTCACCTGTCTGCTCCACCCTTCTCACGGACCAATCACAATAACCTCCTACCTGCATCCACCTATCACCAACTCTTCTACCCTTCCCCCAGCCCCAGTCCATTCCCTCTATTTACTTCAGGGCTCCCCTCCCCCTCCCAGCCCTGACAAAGGGTTTTAGTACAAAAAGTTGACCTTCCTGCTCCTCTGATGCTGTCTGACCTGCTGTGCTTTTCAGCCTTGCGCCTGTAAGCCTTAGGTATACTGTTTGTTTGGCCGATTTGTATGTCCCTTCCTATACTAACCCTAACTTCCCTTGTTAAACATGGCGGGGAGGGGACACCTTTCCCATTTTATTTGTGTGCCAGACAGGAGTGAACAATTGTTTCAGTTCATCCATGCACCCTATAAATCTTTGCTACTGTTTATCCATTGTCATCCCTGTAAGTTCCCCAATTTAAAATAGCTATTCATGCCTCAATTTTTTTCTTTATTCATTCATGGGATGAGGGCGAACCTGGCTAGGCAGCATTTATTGCCCATCCCTAATTGCCCAGAGGGCAGTTAAGAGTCAACCACATTGCTGTGGGTTTGGAGTCAAACGTAGACCAGGTAAGGATGGCAGTTTCCTGAATTCAGTTGAATTACTGAATTCAGATTCCACCATCTGCCATGGCAGGATTCGAACCCGGGTACCCTGAACGTTATCTGGGTCTCTGCATTAACAATCCAGCAATTATACCACTAAGCCACCGCCTCCCCTTTATACCATCATAGCTCCCTGGTCTCAATCAACTATGTCACTCTCCATTTGAATGAAGAATTCTATAATATTTAAGAGGTTCAAGGGTCTCCAGTTTACATAGACCTACACACCTCAGATTGTCATGATAAATATCAAAACCAATGGCCTTCCACCCAGTTAAACTGCCAATTTTTCAAGTCTGTTTCATTGAGAGAATAGTGGAACCTCCAGTTCACCTCCAATTTGTAAAGTCAGAAATGTGGTGGGAAGATGGGATAGTCGTAATTGTAATTATATAAAAATGTATAATTCTAATAATCTAAAATGCTTGAAGGAATTGTTGTATGTATATCTGAAAGGCTTAATATTGAGGAGTGACGTGAGTACCACCCGCTATAATGTCATTCTCAAAGTCTATGACAATGTCTTGATGTATTGATGTAACTTGTAACTAATTGCTAACATGCAATAAACCATATTTTGTTAACTATAAGAGACTTTATTTTCGCTAAACCAGAAAGTGTGTCTACCACACAAGACCAAACAGGCCCTGTCGTTTCTTACACTTAATGACAGCCTTCATCATGACCAGCAGCTTTTGCAGGGTAGTGAGCTAAGCTGCCCCTGACCTGAGGCTGACAGCATTGGTATGAGGCTGAGATGCAGTATCTGCTTGTCAAGTATCAACTGGTGCTTGCTGAATGATTTTGAGGGTTTATAAAATCATGAGGGACATGGATAGGGTAAACAGACCAGGTCTTTTCCCCGGGGTGGGGGAGTCCAAAACTAGAGGGTGTAGATTTAAGATGAGAGGGGAAAGATTTAGAAGGGACCTAAGGGGCAACTTTTTTATGCAGAGGGTGGTGCATGTATGGAATGAGCTGCCAGAGCAAGTGGTAGAGGCTGGTACAATTACAACATTTAAAAGGCATCTGGATGAGTATATGAATAGGAAGGGTTTAGAGGGATATGGGCCAAATGCTGGCAAATGGGACTGGATTTATCTAGGATATCTGGTCGGCATGGATGAGTTGGACCGAAGGGTCTGTTTCTGTGCTGTACATCCCTAAGACTCTATGTCTTCTGAGAGGCTGATGGAGGATTGGATTTGAGACGGCACGTGAAGATGCGTTCTCTGACTTTGACCGTACGCATGAAGTGATTAGACTTGTAGTGCTGACCTCTCCAGCTGTCTGCTTCAAGTATCTTCTAACCATGGCCTTTGAGGATCTCCTTGACCAGGCAGAAATATGGCATCTATCTCTGTCCACCTACTAGGGCTCTCAGTGATGCATTTATGACCATGGAATATTGTCTGTGTCCTAACGTTCCATTTTCCTCATTTAGTAATGCAGCAGAAATATTCACCAAGAGTCTGTTGTTGCACTGCTTCCCTTAAAGAGGCAAGGCATGCACTGCTCGGACCCTGGATGTGTGCAGAGGTAGCCAGCAATGCAACAGATGCTTGGCTCCGTCTACAATCAGATAAATGAATTCTAACTGTCTGCATGTTGCCTATCTCCACCTGACCATGCATTATGATCTTCACACCCAAAGCAAATGGTACAGCCCACTTTTATCTCATTGTATTGTGCTTTAATTTCATATTCAATGTTTTTTTAAAACTTCAAATTGTTATACTACTTTTTCAACTGTTAGTTTGGAAATGGAATGACGTAAGGTTGACAATTCTGACTAGTTGCTGTGTAGTGTAATCTATTATTATCCAAAATATCAGATCCATTCTATGTATTAAATGCTGAATGATGTGTAGCCTTTTAAGTTTCACTAGTAACTTCAAATTTTAATTTGATAATAACCTTGAGAAGAATGAATACCTACATGGTAAATGGTTAAGTGAGATAATGCACACAGTGAAAAAATCTTACTTGAACAACTTTTTTTTATTTGTGTGTCTGTTGACTTTGAGCTACAATTGTGTTACAAACAGTTCAGTGACAGGTGCTGAAGTTGAATAGAAAGTATAAACAGAACGTCTGGAACATCCCAAAAAGCAATCAGTCTTTCGCTCTGTCTGTAAACTACTTTAAAATGTGCTATGATATGGAAACTTCCATATCTACTCCAAAGCATAGCAGTTATCTGTCAGATCATTGTATGTATTCTTTGTATTTTAATGCCACAAGGATTACAACATTGCTCTTTTGTACCAAATTGGTTCAAACCTAAGAGTGCTCAAAGTTGCATTTTTTTATCAACTGAGATATTGACAACAATAAGTATTAGTCCAGTCATGTTCTTTCTTGATTCAGATTGTCATCTTATTCGAATAATACAATAAGGTGACAAATTTTCATTTTATTTATTTCAGGGGGCAGTATTAGCAGCTGTATCAAGCCACAAGTTCAATTCCTTCTATGGAGACCCTCCGGAAGAACTGCCTGATTTTTCTGAAGACCCCACTTCCTCAGGTACTTTTTTCCATTCTAGAGAAACTAGACATTAAAGCTGATCCCTACATAATCTTTACAGAGCAAAGTACTCTAGCTCTACAACAAAGCTGTACATCAAAGATATAGTATTTATGTTTATTGAGTGCATATTTCCTTAGTGATGCAGAGCATTATCTTCAACAGTGAATAATAAAAAATGATAATTATACAATTATTCTAACACAAAATTTCCTCATGTTTACTTGTGATCAAGGATACAGATAATAAGTCAGTAAACAACAGACCCCTCAGAGATAGTAAGAACTGCAGATGCTGGAGTCAGAGATAATTTGGTGTGGAGCTGGAGGAACACAAGGAGGCCAGGCAGCACCTGAGGAGCAGGAAAGTTGTGAACTTTCCTGCTCCTCTGGTGCTGCCTGGCCTGCTGTGTTTCTCC